GTGTTCTTAACAATGTCGTTTCAAAATTGAAGGCTATCAGAGTTGAGGTAGAAGACGAAGATAATGCATTCAGGCTCATATTATCTTTGTCATCTTACTATGAGCACATGAAGTCTATTCTGATGTATGCGAAAGAGACCTTGAAGTTTGCGGATGGTACTAGCAAACTCCTATTCAAGGAGAAACAATTGGAAGGTAGCAATATGACTTCATAAGAAGGTACGATTTTGGTTATCATGCAAATGAAGAAGAAGAACTCCATGAACAATGTAATATGTTGGAAGCATAGACAATATGGGCATGTCAAGAGCAGTTATCCAAGTGGAGCTGGTTCGGTGAAAGACTCCAATTCAGATGCTAACAATGTCTCCATTCTCATGGGAGACGATGGGTTTTGTTGAGATATGGGATAATACATCTTCATGGTATGTCTACTTTGCCATGGAAAAATGGTGTGTTTTGGTTAGCGGTTTCACATATTTACGCATGTGCATTGGTTTGACATGGATGCAAGATGTGTGGTGGGCATGATATTGATGGCTGATGAACTTCCAGGTAAACCAAACGAGGAAGCTGCACCATAAAATTCTCAGCGAGTTTTTTGAAATGTACCGGGTAAAATTCTGAGAATGGATTATTCTAAGTGGTGATACTCTTTTATGGTGGAGTATGATAGTTCTCTGATTTAACAATTATGATTTTCATGGTTTAGATAATGGTTGTTGTTGTTGCAGTGAAAACTTTCTTTTATTTAGCCAAGGTGGAGTTAGTTTGAGAATTTTTTGGCTAAAATAAAAGAAAAGTTTTGAAGGTTTGTCTCATATCGGTGGAGCAATGAAAGGTAAAAGTGACTCCAAGCCTATAAAAGAGGGTCCAAGGGCGTATGTTTCAAATCGTTCCAATAAAATAGACTTTAAGTATTTTATTCTTTCTTCTTCTTCTTCTTTTGTTTTATAGAGAGTATAAAAGTGTAAGTATTAACTATTGGGTGAGGATTGAGAGATTAGAACTGTGTGACTGTAAAAAAATTCACATAGTGGATTTTTCTCCGAAGGCTGTGGTTTTCCTCCGATTTGGGAGATCCCACATTAATTCTTGTCTTCTTCTTTTCCCTATAATTGTTTATTGTTTGGATTGTTGGGAAACTTTGGAACCAACAACATATTCGTGTTCTTGACTGAATCAAATCTTGTTCTTGACGCAATCTAAGGAATAACAAAACTTTTGGCTGCAATACCTTTAATCGTCACTTTGTAATAAGTTCCAACAACTATATTTGGGAAATAAAGCATTTTACTTAAGGGTAAGGTTAATCATGCAAAATCATTTTTAAGACGTAACTTGTGATGTATGTAGTAAAAACGTTTGTTGATAATACATACATCAAAGGGATTCTAAACTGAGACACAACGTTTGTTTCGATAAAAATCATTGGTTTGTTTTAGATGTTAAATAAAACTGTTATAATTAAGTTACAGTTTTAGCCGTAGTTTTGAATACCGACCAAAATCAAAATAATATATCTAAGATATTAATATTCATTATACTTTATTCTAGTATTTCATAGTGAACTAGATGATTGAAAAAAAAAATTAACCACACAAGAAAAAAAATTCCGTCGACGTCAAATATTCAGAAATAACGAAACAAAAAAGTATTATCAATTCAATGAAGAAAGGTTTTCACGTTCTAAAACTTAATACAATGAGGAATGTATTTGAACACTTGGTGCGCATGGAAAAACATAGGCTCACAAAAACCATCAAAGATATGTAAGGTCAAGTCAAAGAAATACAAACGATTAATATAATAGAAGGATAGTCTATCATTTGCTGGAAGATTAATGTAATTCAGTTAATCTAATTTCGGAATTTAGGGGTTAGAAGGAAAGCATATGATAAAAGTATGCGAAGCTTGGGAGTAATAGTTGGAGTCGAAAAGCTCGGTAACATAGCTACAAAAGAGAAACATGATTGATTTTGCTCGAAAAATTATTGCTTGGTATGAATTTCACATAAGAAAAATACAAAAATCTTGAAACCATTTCTCTAGATCCTTGGATTCGTTCTGAAAATGAAAGAGAAATAGATAGCGATCGTAGAAAAGAGGCTAACAATTATCAAACAACAACAACAAGACCATTCGATATCCCATATGAACAAAAATCAACAAAAAGGGTATTGAGGGGAGTGAGTTGCAAGGATTAGAACGTTAAGGGTCGGACATTTAGCACCTGCCTGAACCATGGCCCACCACAATTGAGGGAGTGAGTTCCAAGGATCAGATTATTAAGGGTCGGTCTCAGGCTCGTTTTAAAATAATCTTCAATTCACAAACCGATTGTTATATCGTTAAACTCATGCTCATGTATCAATATAATTAACTAAAATAAATGATTAATAACAAAATGATAAGTAATAGCATCTATTTATTTATATAAAGTGTGTGTATATATAAACTCTTTGGAGAAAATAAAAATAATTTTATAACAATATATTTTATTTGTATAAGCAGTAATTGTAAGTTTGTTGATGAGTAATTTTAACTATTACGGGTTTTAACGGATGTTGTTCTTAAAATTCAAAAATTTGGACTGGGTCGGTTATGTTTGTCAATCTTGAACGATTTTGATCCCTTCGTCTAACGGTCGTTATTTTTCATTAATTCTAGTTAATAAAGGTTATGTAAGTCATTTTCACTATTTTCTTAATTTTATTTTATAATTTTAAAATTTATATTTTTAAATTGTAAAAAAAGGAGCGATCAAAGACGAAGATGGAGTCGAGCTTCACGAAATAAAACTTAAAGAGGGATTTCAAATGAGGGAGTAAGACGTTTGTTTGCCGTCTCGATGTAATCTCGTCAGAGTGTCGCCAAAATAGTTATATTGATCGTCTGGTTGTTTTAGGTGAGAGAGGAAGATAGCGTGATAGGGGAATTATCTTGGGTGATAATTGGGTATCAATTTTTTTCAATTATAGAACAATAGTGAAATGATTAAAATACCCCTCGATTAATTGGAATTAATGAAAAAAAAAACTTAAAATTAGTAAAATTAAAAATTAAATATTTTATATACTACGACGACTTACTGTTGTTATAGGTGAAAAATTAAGAATTAAATATTTTATCTATTGCGATGACAAATCGTTGTTGTAACTGAAGAATTTTAAAAAAAAAATCTACAACAACGACGATTTTCGACGCAATGAATGAAACTGAATTTTTAGTTTTTACATATAGCAACGACATGTCGTCGTTGTACCAAAAAATATACTCTTTTTGCCATCTTAAATAAATATATTTTAATCAAATAATTTGATATTCAACTAACTAGAGAATAATTTTGAAAACCATAATACAAATAATTGTAGAAACCGTTTTATAATATATTTGAAAACCATAATACAAAATTTATGACATAAAATAAACATTAATATTTCAAACATATTAATACATAAATATCTAATTTGTTTGGACTCTGAACTAGACGAGAAGATTAAGACGAGAGCCGTGAAGGGGGCGATTTGGAATTAGGGTTTAAGATACCGTGTTATGTTTCCCAATATTTAGAATCTAAATTTAATAACTATACGTTTTATCATCTAAATTTAATATAATTTATTTAACATATTATATTATGTTTTTCATAGAAATTCACTCTATAGCGTCAAATTTTCGACGCAACGCCTTGTGATGAAAAATAGGGCTTTACAAATTGGTATAAGAGATGTAGTTAAAGTGAAATAGGGCTTTACAAATTGCTAGTCTAAGAACCGTAGAAGTAAGATCAAGATTTGGGAGACAAAGCATCAGGTTAGGCTTAAGAGGTAGTCTTAGAAGGAGCCATCAAGTTGGACCCATAAAGCCAGGATGGAGTGTTCATTCAAGCCAATGGTCGAGCCTATGTCCAACTGGATTACACCCCAGCAGGCCCAGGGAGAGGTCAAAACGTTAACGAGGAGTCGTATATATATTAGTAGATTACTAGAGACTTTGGAGAGAGTGGTACTAAAAATTGCATTTAAATTTAAATCCACAGTGGATTACTAGAGACTTTTAGTTGAAATCTTTTAGAATCGGTCGGTAGTACTTCAATGAATTTACGCTTCAGTTTTCACAGTTGTCTGAAAAACCATGTGAAACTTCAACTAGTGAAATAAGGCTTTGGGTTTATAAGTTTGAATGTACGTTTTTAAACTGATCATTGCTATTTGAAGAATGATAGTTTGATGTTTGAAGCCAAAAGTTAAAAGTTCAAAATTCTAGATTTATTTCCGTAATCATATGATTTTGAGGAAGCCAAATTCGTAATTCAATCTAGTGTTAAATGCTAATGTTAAGGTCATCGGTACGAATCTAGGGAATTGGGTTTATGGGACGCCAAAAAATTTAAGTGTCGTAATAGGCAGTTTTATAAGACTTAATTTATAGGAGCAAAAAATAAAACATCCTATCTATAGGTGTTTAATAAGTTTATAGGATGTTTTTTGGCGTCTTAACAAGTTTTTTAGAACACTTTTAATACAAAACGTCTCATTAGGAATTTTAGAGGATACTATTTGAAAATATGTCTTATAAAAACAGGTGTCCTATAAAAATAGGAGTTTATAGAACACTTTCTCAAAATTGTCCTATAAAATTGCTAATACAACGCTTTGTATTAAAAGTATCCTAAAAAAAACTTGTTAAGACGCTAAAAACGTCCTATCAACTTATTATACAACGTCTTTAGATAGTATGTTTAATATTTCGGTCCTATAAATTAAGTCTTATAAAACGGTCTATTAAAACACTTAGAAATTGGTTAAATATTGTGAATTAGCTAGTGATATTATGTATACCAATAAATGTGATCGTTCAACTCTTTATTACACGATATTGATCAACTTGAGAAAACTTACATGATGAGGTATTGAGCACATTTTGATTACATGGAAAATACATAAATGTAAAATTCAAACTCGAACTTTTGGATCTCACGGGGAATCTTGAAGGCTCTAATATTTGTTGCGATTGAGAAAATTGAGTAGGAGTTGATTCACCTTGTCCGGGAATTGTTCATGAATGAAATGAGAACCTTCAAGCAAGTATATGATTTCCAGATTGGGTACATATTTTTCTATCCCACTCTTCAGGTAATCTTTCATACCGGGAAAGTTGTAAAAGAAATCTTTATCACCTGTGATAAAAAGTGCTGGAGCTACAACTATCGGGTCATTTGGGCCGTGGTTTGGAGGTTGAACAATCTCCAATAATGACCTACAACGATTAATGAAATGAGAACATGGAAATAGAGGAGCAAAAAGAATAACTCCCCTGCTATCGAGTTAGTTCTAGCATATTAAAAATACGCCACATTTTGATTGGTTCGATAAATTACCTGTAAGGAACTTGGACTGCAGTTTGAAATCCAGACTTTGCATACGAAGCAGCATAGGTCTCAAGATCCTCCTCTGTGAACCAAGAGGGTAGAGGAGCTAAAGGTTCCACCAAATCCATTATCTCTTGGTTTTCACTGGCTATGGGTACTTCACTTCCAGAGAACAAAATATAGATGTTTCTCACCACTGTTTTAGCATCAAATCGGCCAAAATCAGCTTCCGCTCTTCCAGGTTCCTAATAAAGATTTTAATTATATTGATTATTTAAATTAGGAATTGGATGTTCATGTTTTGAAATTTAAAGATCGATCAAATCAATTATTTAATGGTGTATACCCGCCATCTTCGCATGTAGAACCCTTCAGGGAGGGTTTGAAGTTGTTGCAAAGCCTCCGGAGGCATATAGGGAATTCCGAGTGTTATGATTCCTGCAAGTTTTTCCGGGAAGAAAAGAGAAAATATGTAGCCAACCATTCCTCCAAAATCTTTTGCAATGACAAATACCTGAGAATTTCCATGCAAATAATATAGGTAAATTAGTGTTCAATGTCGGTATCCGTAATTTGTACACATATAACATGAATCTCTAATCGCGACAATTTACAATTCAAAATTATAATTCATATATGAATATAAACACAAGTATAGATATAGAAGATCTACCTTAGGTATGGCGAGAGAATCTAGGATGGTGGCCGTATCTGCGACCAAATCAGCGAATGACGTCTTCTCGGGTTCTGCAGGGATGTCGGATAGTCCGTATCCTCTGTAATCCGGTGCAATGGCTCTGTAACCCGCGTTTGCAACCGCAATCATCTGATGGCGCCAAGTGTAGGATATCTCCGGAAATCCATGAAAGAAAAGCACCACAGGTGCTGATTCGGACCCAATCTCTGCTACGTGGAGCTTCAGCCCGTCGACTTGGACGTAATTATGCTTAACCTGATCCATTTTTTTCACAACGAGAGTGTAGTATGAGGAGCTAGTGTGTCTGTTCTCAAATGAAGGTGGTGGTTCAAATTTTTTGGTTCTGCGTTAATGCTTTTTATAGTGTTTTTAGGTTCCACCATTATGTTTCAATTATTAGTTTTTGAAATACAATAATAACCATGTTTGACGGCCGACGCCACCTCCAAACATTTTGATTAACGGAAAACGAAGCCTCACAATTAATATTTATAAATAAATTGGGACAAACATAGATCATGTTATATAATTGCATCCAATTGAAATAAAATATGTATGGAATCTACATCAAAGTTGTTTTTTGTCATCATACAGAAAGTCTCCGGAGGGCTGCATTCTCCATGGCGGTTTTAAGAGTAGGAAGGAGTTGTTTTATCATTTATCAGATATGTATTCAGAATTTTTTTTCAAACGATGGTATTATTTGACTATAAGAGTGAGTTTGTGTCAAATAGGATATGATAAAACATGACAAGACAAGATAGTTGTTCAGTGTTTGGTAAGACAGAACAAAATAAATAAAAAGACCAATTTACCCCTAATAAGTTGTTTATATATTTTGATTAATTTATATAATTTATTAAGTTATAATAAAATAATTTTTATAACAAAATATATCATTAGAAAGTTTTCGTCAAAACATTAAAGTGATACCATAATAAAAAGTTTACGTAGTTTCTAATTTTTATTTTATCATTTTTCTACATTATTTTTTGTTATTAATATATAGTAAATTACATAAATTAATAAAAATATAAAAACATTATAAAAATAATAAAGTTTAAAAAGCATAAAATATAATAGATAAAATTTAAAAAATGAATGAAATATAAAAATGAGACATATTTGATGTTTTAAAAAGGAATTAAGTTTTTTTTAGATTATACCGGTAAATATAAGTGTGTTTCATCCTGTTCCATGGGTTAGGAGTGGAACAGGTTTTTTCCACTTTGTTCATATATGTTCCACATAAAAGTCCTACCAAACATAAAACGAGATCTTGTTATATTATCTTCTATCTTATCCAGTGTAATAAACACACCCTAAAAGAAATAAATATGAAGTTTTTAGCAAAATCATGATGGCAAGTTTTGTTAGTTGTTTGAATTTCCAAGGAAAGCTAGGGCTCATGTTCCATTCTTGCATATTTGCCTTCTTCCAAATCTATTTTTGAAACAATAGGCATAGGATACAAAACTAATTAAAAGCTGAAAAGACAAGCATTTTGAGACCAACACAATTTACACTCCACTCTCTATAAAAGCAAGACTTAATCATACTCTATAAACTAACTCAACTAGTTTAAACTTCTGTCATACATGTAATTTTGTTAATTGTAGGAAATATGAAAGCACGCAACAAAACATAAGGGGAGGTTTGTGCCCCTTACGACATAAACCCTTTGATGCATTGTTGTCTTAGGGGTTGTTCGGTTCCTTTACTATTAAGTCTTGTATGGATAAATATTTCTGTATTGATAAAGTTGTCTGTATGATAACAAATAAGTTGTTGTTCGGTTGTTATGTTGAATAAAAAATTTACATGTCACAAATGACTATTTCACCCTTAATGTTTGTATTTTGTTTCATTAAACTCATCTCTTTCACTTGAAAATATATGTATCTTCTTCCTTGTTGCAACCGATCTCCCTCACCTGCCATTAAACAATCACCAAAAATATCACTTCCCCTTTCAACCCATCACCCTGCTTTCAATTTTATTTATTTCTCTAATTTTCCATGATGCCACCAAATTACAAATATATTCCATTTAAAATTTTTAACTACAGAATCTCAATAATTCATACCATCACTGAACCTAAAAATCCTTAAAGACTCCAAAATATTTTTTTACAACAGTTAATCTGACAGTTGCAGGTGGGGAAAGCATGAGATCAGATCTGCCATCGTGGTGGTCTCCATCAGCATCCTACGTCTTATCCTCCGACAATGGCATCACCCTTTTAGGATATGAAACCACCGGTGAAGGATTGAAGTCTCTCATGAACCCGACATCTTCCCTCACGAACCTGACATGGAAAATGTGGTTGTGGGTTCGACATATTCGGGTTCGATAGTTCAAGGCTCACGGGCTTTTGATGTGAAGATGGAGATAGATCAAAGATTTGAAGTTGGTGTTTTGTGTTTCAATATCTACACTATTGGTGTTGAAGTTCTTGAAGATGAAGAATGGAGATGAGGAGAGAAGACCTAAATCAAGAACTAAAAAAATACAAAATCAAAACAATAAATCATAAATCAAACCTCATTTTCCATGTTTTTTCTTTGGTGGCTGGAGTTTTTTCTTTGGTGTTGGTGCAGCCAGAATGTGAAGATGGAGAGGTTCAGGATAAAAGGTTTTATGATTTGGGGAAGAAAATGAAAGAGGGTGAAGGGCAAAAGAGGAATATAAAGGGCTGAATACAAAGAACTTTACTTCTTTAGCTGACCAAATAAGTCATCGGCTGAGCGAATAAGGCACAACTGAACAGTTATCTATGGCTTAGGGGCCGTTCGGTTCGTTTTCTATTAAGACCTGTATGGATATAGTTGTCTGTATATTAACAGATAAGTTGTTGTTCAGTTGTTGTGCTGAATAAACAGTCTGAATGTTAGAAATGAACATTTTTTACCCCCTATCTTTATTTTTGTCTAAAAAACCAATGGGTTTTCAGCTTCGATTTCGATGGGCTTGAGCAGGAATCCTTGAGCAGGTGACCATTTTACCCCCTGCTCTGATCGAAAACAACCTTCACCAACACAGAACACGCATCCACAAACACCAATACACAACACACACACAGACAATGGGGAAGGGGATGACCGGTGACCGATGGGTTTTTAGCCTCGATTTCGATGGGTTTGTCAAGGAGCAGATCGATGGAAGAAAAAGGCAGATGGGTGAACTTCATTCCCTGATAGATGGAGGAAAAAGGAATTACCAGACAATAGAGGAGGGGATGACCGGCGACCGATGGGTTTTCAACCTCGATTTTGATGGGTTTGTCACGAAGCAGATCAATGGAAGAAAAAGGCAGATGGGTGAACTTCATTCCCTGATCGATGGAGGAAAAGGAAATTACCAGACAATGGGAGAGGGGATAACCGACGACCCTTAGAAGACCGATGAAGGAAGAGAGATCGGAGGCTTCAGGGAAGAGAGGACAACTTTGAAGGAAGAGAGGTTTTATTTATTAATATAAGAAGGGTATTTGTAGAATAATCATGGCTGAGTGTATATGACACATCTATTTGGGCTGACCGAATAAGCACTCGGCTGAAGCATTAAGCCACAACCGAACATAATTGTATGGCTTACCGAATAAGCCATATGGCCAATACAGCCCATCAAGTGGCAATCGAACAGCCCCTTAGCGAATAAGCCATATAGGCTATACAACTCATTAAGCCATAACCGAAAAGCCCCTTAGTTTTTGTTAAAAGAATTAAATTTAATAATATTGTATTATATATATTACAACAAATCTTAAACTCTGCTAAATGTTATAAACCCTAAAAAACTAGCTGATAACTGGTAAGTTGACTGATAAACTAGCCGGTAGCTGATAAGCTAGCTAATGAACAAATTATGTTTTGTAAAAACTCGCTTATAAACATGTAAAATGATCAAAAATGGCATCTTGAAAAACAGTCAATTACACAAATTTCATAATATAAAAGAATTAAATTTCTAGTAATATAATATGTTAATAAATACAAACAAGATAGTAAAGAAAAATTAAATATTATAATATGTTAACTGAAAGAATTTAAAATTGATTAC